TTTTTTTTTTTTTTTATTTTGATATTCTTTTTTTTTTTTTTTTTTTTTTTTTTTTTTTTAAAAAAAAGAAAAATTATATAAAACATTATAATATTGATTTAATGCTAATACTTGTTTTTTATTTTTAATTATAATTTTTTTTTTCGAGATAACAAGACAAGTAAATTATACTATACCATTTAAATAAATAAAGAGAAAAAAAAAAATTCTATATAAAAAATTGTATTTGTTTTTTTAAAATTTAAAACATGAAAATAATAAAGAAAAATATATATGGAACAGGTATACTAAATGAATTTCTTAAGTTTAAAACAAAAATACTTTAAATAATAATAAATATAAAAAAATTATAGGTAACAAAATTTTGTGAAACACTTAAGTATTTTATTATGAAATTTTGGAAGAGTCAAAAAAAAAATTAAAGTGTATATAAATAATATATTATTTTTGTAAAAAAAAGAAAAAAAAAGTCATATTTGTTAAAAAAGTACAATAGTCTTAATAAAATTTGGCATACATTTAATATATTTATACACAAATAATATTTAAATTTATTTTTGGTATTAACAGATTCATAAAAAGTAAATAATCTTTATGCATTGACAGGAAAAAAGAAAAAAATTATATAAATTTAAAAATATAAATATACAAAAGGATATGTGAATTTTTGAGAAAATGAAATATACAAAATAATAATAAAATGCCAAAGGTTACAGTGAAAAAGATTCATGCGGTTGCAAAATGGAAATGGTTAGGAACGTCTACAGATAGTGTGTGTGCAATATGCAATAACTCCTTGGAAAATACCTGTACAAATTGTATTAGACCAGGTGATAACTGCCCTCCAGCTTTCGGAAAGTGTGGTCATCATTTTCATTTACATTGTATGGAGAAATGGATAAAACAAAATAAATTAACTTGCCCTTGTTGTAGAGCAGATTGGTATTATGAGATTCAAAATCTCAATTAATTAAATGATAAATGAATTCCATTATAATTAGGAACACCTTTTGTATAATTCGTTTGCATTTTATTTATACATATATTTGTTTAAATGTGAATATGAGTTTTTAAATGTTTTTCATAATTTTTATAGAAGACAAACATTTAAATAATATTTTTAATTTTCATTAATTTTTTTTTTTCCTAATCCTTAATTATATTATGAAGTTTAAATATTTTTTGCTTAAATTTTCTAAATAATGATTAAAAGTTAATTGCTAAAATTATTTTTTTTTTTTGTGCCATATTACTATTACATTGATTTTCAATGAAATTTTTTATCTATAAAATTTTTTTTTTACATTGTATTTCCTTCCTTCAAGGTTTTCATTGAACATAAAAGATACAAAATTAATATTTCAAATGTATTTTCTTTTTTCTTTCTATAATCGTAAACGAATTTTTTAAAAATACCTATTTACTGTTTAAATAAAAAATTATTATCAATTTAAAAGATACAATTTATGTAAATCAATTAAAAAATACTCTTATGTATATATATGTATTGTTTTTTTTTTTTTTTTTTTTTTTTTTTTTTTTGATGAACAAATGCATAATTATTACAAAAGTTATTTTTTTACATTAACATTCCTATCTTTAAAAATCTCTACTTATTACAATTATTTTTAAAAAATATTCTGAAATAATAATTCTTTAGAAAGTTTAATAGGAACATAAAAAGAAAAAACTTATAATTTAAGTAAATTTTTAATATCATTTTAAATGAGAAACATTAGAATTTATTATATATAAATATTTATATATTCATAAATATTATTAAAGGTAATAATAAAATGAATTAATACAAATTAGTATATTTAATGTATTATTTTTTAATGTGATAATACATTTTCATTTTAGAAGAATTAAATAAATTTTATGGTTTTCTTTCAGTTATTCCACTTAAATAAAGCTTCAAAATATAAAATATTCATAGAAATTATAATGAAGTACCTAAAATATATAAATCTACCTTTTATTTACATCTTCCATAATTTTTTCGTATGGAAAAATTAAATTTACATTTAATAAATAATTTTTAATTGTAAGAATGTAAAAAATAAAATAATATATTTTACATTAAATGTTTTTCAGTTTTTTTTTTCTAAATTATTTTTCTTTGGTACTTTATGAGAAGTGTATGCAATATTAAAATAATCCAAGGTAGATATTGAACACCTTCTTTTTCAATCGTAAACAAAGAAATTATTTTAAAATACATTCAAATAATTTATTATATTAAATAATTTTGTCAGCAAGAACAACAAATTTCCTACAAAATTTTTGAAAGTGTCAAAATAAAAAATAACGAAAAAAAAAGTTATTCTAATATTATAACAGTATAATTAATATAGATAAATATGTATATTCTAGTATTATAAAACTAAAACTAGTATAGACATATATACATCTTTTTTTTATTTCTATTATATATAATATCATTAAATTTTCTTTATGAATATATGTATGTAAATTTATTAATGATTAATTCTTTGAAGAAATATACTGTATTAATGAATCAAAATAAATTCACATGTTTTTATCTATTTTATAAATAATATGATAAATTAAAATATAAATTTAAAATACATTTTTACTCACTGTCATTATTTCTTCCTATCAAACAATTGAATTTTATCTTTCTATTTTTTTTTAATGAATTAATTTTTTAAAAAAATTTATTCACAAAAATATATTTAAATAAAAATACTTTTTTCAAAGAAAAAAAAAAAAGTATAATAAACAAGTTATGATAATTATATTTACATATTTACACTTTTTTTTAAAATGTTCTTTTTTAAAACATATAATTCTTTTTAAATACTAAAAATTCAATATAGATTTTTCCGAATGTTGTATATTTAAATATTTGTTTTATTTTTATATGAAGAAATAATAAAAAAAAGAGACCTTTATATGTGAAATTATCTATATTAGCAGTAATTTAAAAAAAAAAATACCTTTCATATTCTTATATGAAGATTTTAAATATTTTAGTGAAAAATGTTTAAATTGTTGTATATCTTTTAATTACTAAAATATCTAATCTAAATATAAATTTTTGATAATTATAAATACGTTATTTTCCTTACATATTTCAACAAAATGAAAGAAATATTTATATTGAAAATATAAGGCATTTTCTTTTAATAAATATCTAGCAGTTAATATTCATTACATCTACTTCTTATATATATAAAGCGAATAATACTACATTATATTTGTATTTGTTTATTGTTAACCCTTTTAATTCAATTATTAATTATCAATTACATTTCATTCATTTTATATAAAAGTAAAGTAATTATGTAATGAATAGAAAAAATATACGGTTAAGTTAACGTGATATAAAATTACAGGTTAATACTTTTAATTATAGTATAATATTTATATAAATACTTAATTAATAATAAAAAGTAGAAAAATTCATTAAGAATTAAAATTACAATAAAAAAATTTTATCTTATTTTCAAAAAATTTGTTAAAGCAGTTAAGCTAAATTCATATATATATATATATATTTTTATCAATAAAAAAGTAATTCTTTAGTAGTGAAAAATATGTAAAAAGAAAAAAACAAATTAATAAAAATGATTGACATTAACATTTATTTATTAAATATAACTTTAATTTTTGCTCAAAGATTTTTTTTTTTTTATTATATTTCGTTTAAATATCTTATTAATTTTTCCGCGCGTCTTCTTTTTATATTTAATATGTTCATTATTTTAATATAATGAAATTTTTAAAAAATTTAAGATTTTCAATTTTTCATTTTTAAGATTCTCCTCGTATAAAAAATATTAGCTGAAGAAAATAAATTACATATAATTAAAAAAAAAACTACATACATATATGCATATACATATATATATATTTATTTATTTATTTATTTATTTTTACTTATTTAAGAAAAATATTTCTTTTTAATTAAATAAATCTGATATATTTATTTTTATTATAAATTATTATAAAACAATTTTTATTTTTATATATTTTTTAATAATACAAAAACAGAAAGTATGTTTTTATGTATGATAAATTTTTATAATGAAACCACTCTGTTTAAGAATAAATGTTTTATAAAACTAATAAAAAAAAATAATAATTTTTTATTTTATTTATTCATCTATATATTTTGCATTTATATATACAAATATTCTCAGAACATCTGGTAAAATATATCCATAAAAAAGAAGTTAAACGTTTTTGAATGTATGATAGAATATTGTTATATATTTTTTATAATTAATAATTTGCTAATGAAGTTTATAATAGATATTTTAATTAATTTTTCATATATTTACGTGTCTATTATTATTTAACTTATTTTTATGTTGTATTTTTTTCTTATTTAATCTTTTTTAAAAAAAATATACGTGGTAATAAATAAATGAAAAAATATATTTTATGTAGATTATAAATAGATATATAAACATAATAAATGTAACATTCTATTAATATAAATATTACTATAGAAATATAATATAATTCAGTTACATAAAATATTTATACTAATATATATATATATATATATGTAATTATTTACGCTTTTCAATCATGATATATTTTTTAATTTCAAATGTTATCATTATATATATATATAGTATTGTTTTTCATATATTAATTTTATGTTAATATTTCACATTTTTTTAAGACAAAAAAAAATACAAAAAATATTATTAGATGCACATATAAAGAAAAAAAAAAAACAGAAAAAATAAAATTTTTAATAAAGAATATATTTGAGTATACACACAAATGAAATGATATTTTCATAATAACATTACAATTACATAAAATAAAAAATAATTGTGTGCTTATAGTGCATTCTTTACCTTTAAATTTAAATAATAAAAGAAAAAAAAGGAAAGAAAAATTGCATGATTATGAAAATAATCTAAAAAGAAGGTATTATATATATTAAAAGTTATATAATATTTAACAATAATAATAAATTAAATAATTATTATTCATATTTTAATGAGTAAAGGGGAAAAAAAAAATAATATATAAGCTTAATTTATGCGTAAAATAAAAAAAAAAAAAAACCTCATTGAAAATAATTATAAAATAAATAATAAAAAAAGTTAAATTTAAAAAAATACATTTTTTTTTTTTTTTTTTTAATTTGTTTTTATAATTATTTTTATTTTATTATTCCATATTAATTAATATATAATTTATTTTATTATTTACTAAATAGAAATTTAATTAAAAAAATGGAGAAATTTTTAAAAAATAAAAATAAGGAACCTTTTAATACTTTTACAATTAAAAATTTTTGAAGTAAAAATATATAAGTAGAATTATCTTTGTTTATAAATGTAACTAAATAAATTATCTATATTTTAAGTAATTTTTAAATACCCGTTTAGAAACATATATACTTGTATATCCAAATATTATTTTATTTTTGCATTTGCTAGTGTTAATTTTAAAATTTTATGCAGCATTTTATTTATGTTTTTTTTTTTTTTTTTATTAAATGATTCGCACACATACATGAATTATTTATATTCCATTGATTTTTTTTTTTTTTTTAAATATATTATATTAAACATTTTTCTCTTTTTCTCTTTTATTTTTCTTTTCTTTTTTTTTTTTTATTTTTTAATTTTACCTTTTTATTTATTATTTTTCAATTAATAATATACATAAGCGTTTGTATATAAATATATAAAGTTATACGTATATATACTTTTATATAATACATAAATTTACATATAAATATACATATATACATACATATATATGTATATATATTTATATAAATATATATATATATATATATAGATAGATATAGATATATTTTAATTTTCGCTTTTTTTCCTTTTATTTTTTGAATATAACATATTTCCTTTTATAATAATTTAAGTGTACCTTTTTTTTTTTTATCTTTTTTTTTTTTTTTTTATAAAAGTTACTCATAAATGTGTTTAGTTAATTTAAATAAAAAAGATCCTTGCTTTTTTCTACAGGGTATTTTTGTTTATGTATCTTCTTGTATTTGCTTAATTTTGATTGACTTTTGAAATTGTTTTTTTTTTTTTTTATTTTTTGTATTTAGATTATTTTAATATTAATTTAATTTTCAAATTAGAAAAATATTAAGTTTTTTTTTTTTTAAATAATTATGCTAAAACTACTTGTATATGTATAAAAAATAATATGATAAAATGCATGTAGATGAAACTTTTTTTTTTTTTTTTTTTTTTTTTTTTTNAAAAATTTTTTTTTTTTTTTTTTTTTTTTTTTTTTAATTTAATATGATTATATATATTTTTATATATATACATATATAATTCATATATATATATTTATATTTTTATATGTAAATATATATACTTGCATATGAATATATATATAGATATAAATATATATATATATTTATATATATATATATAATTGTATATATATTTATACATGAAAGTAAATATATATATATATATATATATTTTTATTTCAAATTTTTTTTTTTTTGGAAATTTAAAAAGTTCATTAAATACTTTTTCACATCAATAAAATAGTAAATATATATATTTTTATACTATTTAAATGTTTCTTTTTTACTTAATTTCAATATTTTATAATTTTTATAAAAAAATACTTTCTTGTTTTATCATATTTATAAATTTTCGTTTATATTTATATATGTAATATATGTTTTTATTTTTATTTTATATTTATACGTAATTTCATAAATTTTTTTAAAATTTTTTTTATTAATTTGGTATATATTTATACTTAAATAATATATATATATATTTATATATATATATGTGTATAAATATACATATGTATATATGTATATATATTTATATATATATATATTTCTTTTTTTTTTCTTGTTAAAATGAGAATAAGAAAATCATGGTGCACATTATGTCGTGAGAATTTTGAAGAAGGAGATGAATGTATGCAATGCAAACAATGTAAGAAAAAATTTCATAGAGAATGCTTACAAGCAGAAAATTTAATCGATAATAATCAATTAAAAGATATAAAAAATTATTTATGTTATCATTGTATGAATGAAGAAAATGATATTCCAGAAAATGAAGAAAGATGTAAAATATGTAGGGAAAAATCATCAAACCTTGTTTTATTACTATGTGATGGATGCCCTAATAGTTATCATGTTACTTGTTTAGGTTTACAGTCAGAACCAACTACAGAAAAATGGTTCTGCCCTGTATGTAAACCGGAAGAACATAAAAATTTAGATGTTAGAAGAATGAGAAAAGGATTTGTAATTGATAACATGAATGGTGAACATGTTAATTCGTCTACTTGCTATGTTTGTCAGAGACATGGAAAATTATTAGGTTGCGATTTTTGTCCTAATTCTTTTCATCCAACATGTTTACCTGACTTAGATTTTGATAATATCTCAGATCAATGGGAATGTCCTTGTTGTAAAAATGAAGACCCTTTATTAAATCAAGGGCATAAAAGGTGGACAAAAAATGAAATTCAAGAAATTATGAAAAAAAGGCAAAGAGAATTAAGTTTTTGGAGATCAAAAATTATAAAATATAGAAATAGATTCTTATTAGCTCATAGAAAGGATTTACAGCCTTTTGTAAATCCTAGAGTATTTGCAAATTTAACAAAAATATTCAAAAATGATTTTTATAATTTAAAAAATTATAGTGGAAATAAAAAATCAAACAAAAATAACAATGATTACGATAAAACAAATATGAAAAAAGATTTAGATATTGATTCTAAGGAATTTGATGAATACATATCTTCTTTAGAAGATGAAGCAAATGAAAACGCAAATAAATTTATTGAATCTGTGTTTTTGAGTGTTTATTATCCTAATGGAAGAAAAATTGAAAGAAGGCCATTAGTCGATAATGTTCAATTAAAACCACATCAAGAAGATGGTGTGGAATGGTTACTAAAATCTTTTTTAACTGGTGGTGCTATTTTAGCGGATGAAATGGGATTAGGAAAAACTATACAGACTTTATGCTTTCTTTCCTATTTAAAATGCAATAAAATTGATGGACCCCATTTAATTGTTGTTCCTTTATCTACTGTTGGAAATTGGTTAAGAGAAATACATAGGTTCACACCTCATCTTACTTGTATTAAAATTTGTGGATCAAAAAATGAAAGAACTCATGCTAAAGAGGATAGATTAGCGGAAAAGGGATTATATGATTTATATGTAACTACTTACGAAACAGTTAAAAATGAAGAAGAATTTTTTGTAGAAACTATACCTAAATGGCAATGTATAGTATTGGACGAAGCTCATAGAATAAAAAATCAAAGTGGTGCTATTAGACATTCTATGGATAGAGTAGTAGGAAATATGCGATTATTACTGACAGGTACTCCTTTACAAAATAATTCTGCGGAATTATTTACTTTAATTAATTTTATGTTTCCAGATATATTTAAAAACTCTGAAATAATAGAGCAAGCATTTATGAATGCATCACAAAATAGTAGTAATCAGAAAAATAATAATTTAAAAAATAAAAATAATAAAGATGAAAAAAATAATCAAAGTGTAAATAATTGCAGTAGTTCTAAATTAAATGTAGACATTGGCAATATAGATTTAAAGTCTGCTATAAAAGAGGAAGATTTAAAATCTATACGATGTTTATTAGATAAAATTATGTTAAGAAGATTAAAAGAGCAAGCAATTACACTTCCAAGAAAAATTTTCCATGATATATGGTTACCATTAGGAAGTTTATCAGCACATTGGTATAAAAGGCTCTTAGATATTAGATCAATGGTAGAAGAAAAAGTTAGCGTAAAAAAATTATTAGGTTTAGTTATAAAAATGAGAATTATATGTGGTCATCCCAAAGGAATTGTTAGTAGGCCAACACAAATGGAAAAGTTATTTGCATTTTTTGAAGAGGAAAGTGAAGAAATTAAAGAACAAGTTAAAAATGATGCAATGAAATTAAAAAATGTATCAGGGAAAGAACATATAGAATCTTCCTCAAAACTTATATTTATAGATAAACTATTGTGTCAATTGCATTATGAAAATTGTAAATATGTTAAAAATTATTCCTCCAACTTTGAAAAACATAAGAAAGAAGTTGCTGCCTACACATATCATAAAATTCAAGAGCAAAATAATACACAAAAAAAAAAAAGAGAACATTCTGGAAAATTTAAAAAAATTGAAGCATTAGAAAACAGTCCTTTATTTATGGAAATTTACAATAAAGGAAAATTTGATTTGAAACCAACTTCAGAAAAGGAAGATTTATTAAAAAATTTTATGCATACTGTATCTGTTGATAATGAATGTCCATATAAAAAGAAAAGGTGTATATATGATAAAGTGAAAGATCTTTTTAAAAATGCTAATAATCCTAATAACAAAAAAAACATTTTTTTTAAAGATGATAATAATGAAAATGATCTTTCAGATGATCGATATAGTTGTAACAATATGAATAATAATATAGATGATAATGAAGAAAATAAAAATGAAAGTGATAATTGTTTAAATTCTTCAAAGGAAAATGAGAGAAATAACTTATTCTTTGATGATGAAGAAGATAATAGTGATTATAAAAAAAGTAATAGAACAGGTAATGATGATAGTGATGATGGAGAATTTACAAAAAATTATGAAAGTTCATCTAATAAGAAAAAAAAAAAGAAAAGATTTATCTCAGAGAAAAATGTTAATAGTATGAATTCTAAAAAAAATAAAAAAGGAAATAGCAATAGCTTATTTGATAGCAATGATGAAAATTCTGATGAGGAAGAAAAGAATGGAGAAGCAGATAACAGTGATCAGGATGAAGAAGAAGATGAATTGGGTGAAGAAGAGTATGAAGAAAATGATGATGCAAATATCAAAAAAAAAAAACATAACAGAAACAGTAATGAAGACAAAAAACTAAAAGGAAAGAATGTAAAAAGTATCAAGAAAGATGATAAAATTATTTCCTTAAATGAAAATTGTAAAATGATGAATATTAGAGAATTTTTTAAAAGTGAAAAGGAGTTAAATAATTCACGGAAAAAAAGTGATACATTAAAGAGATTGGATAAATATGATATAAAGAAGGAAGAGTTAGACGAAGCAAAAACGGAAGAATTAAAGAAAATAAAAGAAAATAAAAAAGAAGAAAATTATTATGAAAATAAAACAGTAGATGAAAATGAAGAAATAAAAATAGATTATAATAAAGATAAAAATGTGAATAATGATTCCTACAAAAAAGAAGAAATTAAACAAAAAGAAGAAAAGGAGGAAACTTATGAAGATGAAACTGTCAAATGTGATAATGAAGAAAAAAAGATATCAACTGATAAAAATTGTTCTAATGAAGAAAATGTGGAAAATAATGAAAGCATGAAAAAAGGAGAAATAAAAATGCATAAGGTGTTAATATTTACTCAATTTCAACTGGTGTTAGATGAATTAGAAGAATATTGTAAGTATAGATGTTGGAAATATATGAGATTAGATGGGTCTACTAATAAATTAATAAGAGAATTAGACATACGTGAATTTAATTTAAATAATAGCATATATTTTATTTACTTAATAAGCACAAGAGCTGGTGGATTAGGTATTAATTTAACTGCAGCAAATCATGTTATTATGTATGATGAAGATTGGAATCCTTTCATAGATTTACAAGCCATTGATAGAGCACACAGAATAGGTCAGAGAAGGGAAGTAAATGTCTGGAAGTTGATGACTGAATGGACTGTTGAAGAAAGAATGGCATTTCGAAGAGAGCAAAAATTGAAATTAGACAAATTAGTAGTTCAAACTCAAGATGATGAAGATTTGTTAGATAATTTTGAAGAAAAGTTGTCATCTGATGAAATAAGAAAATTAATGTTACATGGAAAAGCAGCTATACAAAATATGAATATAGAAAATACTAATGACTTTTCTTTAGAATTTTTTATCGAAAGAGGAAGAAGAAAATTGCCAATAATAAATGGAATAGATTTAGAAAAAGAAGAAAAATGCACCATAGAAGAGGAAATAAACAACATAAATGAAAATGATATTTATGTGGAAAAAGATGAAATTAATGATTCACAAAATAACGAGGATGATAATACAATTGATATAGATGAAGTTATGATAGATGAAGCGGAAGAACCTGAAATTAGGCATAATAATACGAATTTAACAGATTGTAGTCCAACATATGCAGAAGGAAATGATCAATTATATTTAAGTAATCTTAATAAATCTAAAACATCTCTTTCAAAAACAAACACAGCCACCAATCAATTTGCGTCAAATAATTTGGGAAGTGATACGACATTGTGGAGATCTGTAAGAGAAAGAAAAAAACCACAAAATATGTATACCCCTGAGTATTGGGGAAGAAAACAGGAGGTAAAACAAATAAGGCATGAATATAGATGCTTTATTTGTAATAATACGAAAAATTACAAAACTGTTGTTAAAGATAGAAATGGAAATGATATAGAAATAGATTATGGAGATATGATAAATTGTTTTCGTTGTCCTAAAACTTATCATAAGTTATGTGAAGGAATAAAAGATGAAAATGTTAAAAAAACATGGACTTGTAGTTGGCACGAATGTTGTTTATGCTTTAGAAAATCATCTCAATGTGGTAATTTATTAATACATTGTGCCACTTGTCCTACTAGTTTTTGTTATAATTGTTTTCCTCCAGATTATGTAAGATATTATGTTGGAGAAGAATATTATCATAATCTACGTCAAAGAGGAGTTAATTTTACACCTCAAAACTGGGTATGTTTTTTATGTTCTAAATGCAAAGCTGTAGAAGAACAAAAGAAAAGAAGGAAAATGACTAAAGAAGAAAGAGAAAATGAAAAACAATTACAAAAAGAATTAAGAAGTCAATTGCAAGATAGCAAACAAGAAGAATTAGAAGCCAAAAAAAGAAAGAGAGCTCAACAAATGGAAAGAGATAAATTTATTATAGAGAATAGGAAAAGAATAGATGCTTTAGACCAAAAATATGAAACTCAACTAAGAAATGCATATGAAAATTTGTTTCCAGTTAATTTTGTAAAAGAATTAGTCAATAGAATAGAACATGCAAAAATGTTAAAACAAAAAGGAATTGATGAAGATAATAAAGAAGTCAATAAAAAAAAATCCACTACATTTCTACATACAAAATTACCACATAAACTTTTAGTCTTATGTGAAAATTGTAAATTGCCTTGTCATGCTAATTACAAATATCCAGGAAAATGCTGTTTTCCTTTAGAATTAGATAAATCTTATTTTTATGCCAATTCATCATTTAGTCAATCTAATAAAGAGAGTACCGATAAAAAAATAACTACAAAAAATGATACTTCCAATGAGCAAAAAGATAAGGAGGAAAAAAAAGAAGAGGAATGTAATAAAGTAAAGGAAGAAAATATGAATACAGAAAAAGAATGTGAAAATAATATAAAAGAAATAAAAAAAGTAAAAGAAGAAAATGATAGCAAAATAAATAATGTAGATGAAAAAGAAGATACAAATAAAAAATTAGCATGTGATTCAAAAATAGAGAACAACAAAAATGACGAAGACATTACATTAAATAATTCATTAACCTACAAAAATAGTAAAGTTATCAATACCAATGGTGAAGAAAGCAAATACTTTAAAGAAGCAATTACAGATGTTGCAAAAGACCAAAGTGATCATAACAATAATAAAAATGTGAAATGTGAAAAGGAAAATGAACAAAATGATAATAATAATAATAATAATAATAATAATAATAATAATAATCATGAAAAAGAAGAAATTAAAGGAAATGAAGAAGATAATGAAGAGGATAACTTTAATGAGAAAAAACAAAATAATATAGAAAAATCTAATAGTGAGGATAAATATAAAATTAATTTAAACGAAAATATTAAAATTAATGCTACAACAGATAATGGAAATGAAATAAAAACAGAAAATACTGATAATCAAGTAATTACACCAAGTAACAATGATAATAATTCTATATCTAATTCTAAAGGAAAAACGAGAAGATTTTTAAGAGCTGTATGCTCAAAATGTGGTACAGTACAACTAGGAAAATTAGCTCATTTTAGAAAACATTGTGATAAATTAACAGAAGAAGAAAAAAATGAATATGAAGAAAAAAGAGAAAAATTAAAGCAATTAATTGAATTATTAAATATGAAAAAAATTGAAGATGAACACACGGAAGAAGAATATAAAAATATGTCCATTTTTAAATTCAAAAGTCTTTATAATTATTTTCAGGATAAAGCAGATGATATATTAGAAGAATGTATTCGTGAAATGAAATGGGATATTTTAATATCTACTAAAAAGAAAGTAGTAAAAAAAGAAAAAGAATCAAAAAAAAATTACAATAAAAACGAGGAAGATAAAAATGATGATAACGCAAACTCTAATTCAAAATCGAAATTAACTCACCTTTTGTATAGCCAACCATTAACAATAAGTTCTGATTGTTCAGAAACAAAAGATATCATAGAAATAAAAAGTGATATAACAGATGAAATGAGGGAAATAATAAATGATGAAATTTCCTCATATGCAGGAAAAAGAAAAAAATATTCAAAAAATACGAAAAAAGTAAAGAAAAAAAAAATAAATGATAATATTGTAGAGCCAAATCTAAATAATTTACAAAATGAAAATGAGTTACAAAACTTAATTATAAATCCATTCCATGAACAACTCATAAAGGATACACATAATGTAAATTTCATAAGGGAATCATTCAACGATGAATTTTTAAATAAAGCTAAAGAATTCCTTAGAGTAACAAAAAGTAAATTATTAAACACCTCTTTTTCTGAAAGTAGTGATGCAGAAATATTAGGATCTTCTGAAAATAATCAAAAATTAAATCAAGATGACATAGAAAAATCCATTATTCAGGATTATCTTAACAAAATGAAGAATTCATTAAATGATAATACTTCACATACAAATAAAGATAATTTTAATAATAATTTAAACGAGTTAAATTATACCAATTCATGTGCAAATGACAAAGAAAATATAGATGATTACAAAAATGATATATATAAAAATTCTTATGAAAATACTAATTATTGTATTTATTCAAGTAAATCTAACTCATGTAATAAAGATCCTACTACTAATACAAGTAAAAGTAATGAAAAAATAGAGGAGTTTAATAGAAATTCAAGTTATTCTTTAAACGATCTTAATAGTGATATTTATAATATTGATAAAAACATTGATCCAGAAGAAATAGAAAAGAAATTGTTAAATTTATGTTCAAAAACAAATTTAATGAATAAAAATAACTTTCTCAGTGATGATAAGGAAGAAAAAAGTATTATAATAGAAGATGAAAATAATTTTCTTTTAAAAAAAAATGAAAAAAATTTTCAAAAATGTAAAGAAGTTTCATTAGATGATAGTGTTGATTATGATATTAAAAAAATAACAAATAGTTCAGAAGTAAGTGGTGCAAATAAAGTACAAGAATATATTTTGTATAGAAGAAAAAAAACTAGTAATAGTACTAACTCAAGTAATATGAATGATACCAATAATGATGACAATGATAATAATAATTGTACAGATAGTAATAATATTTTTCAACATTTAAATTTAGAAGATGTGAAAAATTTTTTAAAAAGTGCTGAATTAAACAATAATGAAAAACTGCCCGAAATAAATTAAATATCCAATACATTCATAATTGACACCTGTGGAAATAAATAAATATTTTACTTTTTTTTAGAACTCCAAAATAGGTTTTTAAGGAATAATAAACATTTTATTTTAATAATTAATTATGAACGTTTAAAGAATTGATAAAAATATACTAAATTTGTTATATGAATTAATAAAAGTTTTAAAGGACAAAATGATATTAAATTTTTTACTTGGTAATATATATTCTACAGAGATGAAATTTTATTTAAATATATTAATTAGTATTTTAAATGAACAAATTAAAAAAAAAATAAATAAAATAAAAAAAATTAAAAAAAAAAAAAAATGTATATATATATATATATATATATATATATATATATATATATATATATATATGCATATAGGCTTTAATTATCATAACAAATTTGTCATATATTAAGATTATTGTAAACAATAAAATATTTTTTTTGAAGATTGGATTTATGTCTTTTTTTCCCTTTTATAATTATTTAATATATATATTAAACAGTGTAAAAATATATATTTAAAAAAAAAAAGAATGAAAAAAATAATAAAGATTCTGTATCATAATATTTATTGGATAAAATTGAGGATATTAAGACTTGTATGAGGGCTACCTTTTAAAGATAAGAATTTGAAATAAGACAATGTATTTTTTATATGAAATTATAATAAAATTGATATTAAGTTTAAATTATATGCTTATAACAATATATGTAATTTAAATATTAAATTATTAAAATTTTCAAATGGATAATATTCATTTTAATAGTATTCCGTGTTTTATTTATTTCTTTCACCTTTAAGAAGGAACATAAATTATTAATATATAATATATATATTTATGTGTATATATTATATATGATTATATTTTTATTTAAAAATCATATTATGAAGTTCAAATAAAATATGTGTAATATTATGTTGATATATATTTTTAATAAATTTAATGAAAGAGCAAAAAAAAAAAAAAAAAAAAAAAAAAAAGTTTGTACTATAGTATTTTCTTTTCAAGAAGACCAATAATAATTTTTTTAAATGATTTTTATTTTTATTTATTTATTTATTACAGAAATCAAAAAAAAAAAAAAAAAAAAAAAAAAAAATAAAACAAAATAAAATATCCTAATTTATTTTTTATAAATATTTTTTTATTTTTTTTTTAAAAAAAATTTGTGTATTTTAATTGTAACCTTTTTTTTTTTTNTTTTTTTTTTTTTTTTTTTTTTTTTTTTTTTTTTTAAAAAAAAAAAAAAAAAAAAAAAAAAAAAAGTTTGTACTATAGTATTTTCTTTTCAAGAAGACCAATAATAATTTTTTTAAATGATTTTTATTTTTATTTATTTATTTATTACAGAAATCAAAAAAAAAAAAAAAAAAAAAATAAAACAAAATAAAATATCCTAATTTATTTTTTATAAATATTTTTTTATTTTTTTTTTAAAAAAAATTTGTGTATTTTAATTGTAACCTTTTTTTTTTTTATTATTTATTTATTTTTTTTTTTTTTTTAATGTTTCTAATTATATTATCATTTATTTTTATTTTTATTTTTTTTTTTTTTTTCGTTTTAAAATACAGTCTGAAACTTTTTTTTAACTTTTATTATTTACGTGTTTGATTTAAAGTGATATTTCGTTAAAAATTCATTTTATATAATTTTAAAAAAAAAAAAAGGAAAAATACATTATTTATAAAATTCATAAAAGAAAACCACATCATGTATATGTTTTTATGTTTTTTACAGATATATTTACAAATTTTAAATAAATAATTATATTTTTTGCAAATTTTTTAATTTTAATAATCTAAAATATTACACTTCATTTAATAAACTAAAAGTATTAAAGTATGCATATCTATAAAGAAAATATATATATATATATATATATGTATACATAATTAAGTTTTTAAGGAAAAAAAAAAAAAACATATTAAATTATTACTGAGAAAATATACAGAATAGTATTCTATAATAAACAAATTGCGATTTGTATAAAAACATTAATCTATCAAAAAAAAAAAAAAAAAAAAAAAAAAAAAAAAAAACAACAGGAATGTAAAATTATTTTGCTAGAATTTTTTTTTTTTTTTTTTTTTTTTTTCACCTTAACAACAAAAGAGGATTAAAAAAAGAAATGAGATAGCTAACATGAAACAAAATAAAAAATATATTAAAAAAGAAAAAGAGGAAATAATAATTATCAAGTGATGAAAAGGAAAATTTAAATATTTTAATATGTAAATAGAAAAAAGAAATACCTTTTGTGTAAAAGAAAAGGAAATGAAAGAAATCCCATATATTTATGAATTATATTAGTTGAATTTAATATAAATATATTTATATCTTTTATTTTTGACAATAACCTAAACAAAATAGTTATTCAAATAATCAAAATTTGAAATAAAAACATATAAATAGTATTTATAATATAATATAGAAAGAAAAATGAGGATTATTGAAGAATAGTGATGTAAATAGTATTATGACAATTCATTTTTTTTTTTTTTTTTTTTTTTTTTTTCATATACCGGATACTATTAAAAATGCTTATATGATTAGGATGTCCTGATATTCCATAATTATCAAATGTTAAAATCTATTAACAATATAAATTCATATAACAATTATATATATATATGTATAATAAAAAAAATATATATAACATAAATTTTACTGTTTTAATATTATGCTTAGAACAATAATCATTTAGGATATTAGAAGTATCTTTTTCATCCCAGTAATCCCAACCGTCTTGAATTTTGGGGTTATTTAAAATTTTACAATTTCCTTTTTCACCACCTAAATATGACCATATATTAAAAAATTCTTTTTCCCTTATTTTACCATATCCATAGTAATTTCCATTACTTAAAGATAAAAGAAAAATTTCATTTTTTTTTTTTTTATCAAGTAAAAATTTTAATGTAGGAAAAAAGAACATAATTTCATCATCTGGGTGTGCTATAATTAAACATATATTTTTTTTCTTTTTTAAGAATTCTAGAAATCTATTTTTTTTAACTTCTAAATAGGAAAATAGAATACATATTAATATTATTATAAAACATGTGAATAAAATTTTTTTAAAATCCATAATGAAATATGAGAATGTAACAAATAAAAAAATAAAATTAAATTAACATTATATATAATTTAATAAAAAAAAAAAAAGAGAAAAAAGAAAAACAAAATTAATGGTAACAACTAATTTTGTATAAATATATAACTTAGTATTATATATATATATATATGTTTAACTCCATTTATTTTTTTTTAATGATTTAAATTAAAAAATAAAAATAAATTTATATAGTTTTTTCATTTTTTCATTTTTTTTTTTTTTTGAAAAATTAACAAATTTACATAATTCATTATTATATTTCCATTTTTTTATATGATAAATTTTAACATTATTTGTAAAAAATTTTACTTTTTATGAAATTTTATTTTCCCTTGGAATATTTTAAACGAAATTTTTTAAAACATTTTTTTTAGTTACTATATTTTTTATTTACGAATTAAAATTTTTTAATTTTTCATAATTCTACTTACACATTTTATTTAAAACCTATTTATAGAAAAACTCTTTCAAAAGTTTCTATATTTTTTTTTAATATGATAATAGTATTTTATTTAATCTTTAAATCATAATTTATTATTATTTTTCTATTCCTTAGATACTATATGTTTTTATCTTTCATTATTAAATTGTTTTGTTTTATTCGATTCAATTAACATTTTTCTTTTCTTTTTTTTCCATTAACTCAACAATGATGAATTTATTTTTTGTGTTTCTATTAAATTTTATATTTATATGCTTAAAAAAAGTGTTATCTTGAAAAATGACAAAACAGAAAATATATAAAAAAATGAGAAAATCTTAAACAAAAAACCACATACATATGAAAGGTAGCTTTTATAATGTCTTATATGCATATTAGATTTTTTAAAGTATTTATATAAAAATGAAAAAAGAAGAAATTTTAATATATATTTATTATAAGAATATTAAAACAAAACAAAAGTATTAATTTAAAAAAAAAAAAAAAAAAAAAAAGAGCTTATTTTCTTTTTATTTATTTTAAACGCTAATTATTTTAAATACATTGTTGAAAAATTCTTTATGAATTAAATACTCCCCAGATGATGTACAAAAAAATAACTCGGAATCATCAATGAAGATATTTTCTACAATATATTTATCATAATTTTCATACATTAACTCTTGCAAATAAGATTTTTTTAGAAGTGATATATAAAAATTCATTTTATTTGAGAGACGTTTCATCATGCAAACAAGATTTTCAATTTTGTTGATATTAAATGGGTTCATTTTACGTAGTCCCATTGATTCTATACTATAATTTTCTCCTTCCATATCTTTTAATTTATAACGTAATACATATATTTCAGTAAATTTAATTAGTTTAGAAAATGTTAAATTATCTCTAGAAAAAAAAGTTTCCTTTTCATAATAATTTGATAACATTGAACTAACCGTATAAATTACATCAGCCATACTATCCATACATAAATCAAGAATATCTCCTTTGCTTTCACTTACACTATTAAAAATTGAAAAAACCATATTTCTCAAATTTTGAAAGGAAAATTTTTCATTAAATAAGGTTTTAATTTTTTTATTTTTATTAAACATATCCAAATTAATTTGATTAAAAAACCAAGATATAGTGGTCATTATACGTATAGAACAAATATTTTTTATGTGATTAGTATCTCTTAAATAAAACAAATCTATAAATTCTCTTTTCTTTAAGATAGAATCATTAATTTCTCTAATATAAATTTTTTCCATTTCATCAACAATACTACTTGAAATATAGATGAAATTATAAATTTGTTTAATGTAGTAATGTAAATTTGATTCATTTTTTATAGGTAACAAATGAATTATGTTTTCATCTATTTTTTTAATATATTTATGAGGTTCTAAAAATTTTTCTTTGGAGTTATTTAATAATTCTTTATTTAATTCTTTAACTTTATCAAGTGCATTTCTTAAAACTCTGCAACTATTCAATAATGATTTTTCATTTTCATTATAACATTTAGTAAAAAAGCTTCTAATAGTAGTTATATATTTACCAACATCCTTATTAAAAATATGTAAATCTCCTATTAAATCCATGATATTCTTGTTTATTTCTGCAGATAATTTTGTTAATAATGAATCACATGCAAAGTTCATTTGTTTTTCATCATATGGGTTTACATTAATCAAAGAATACATTAACTTAGAAAGAACATACGTTATTGGGTAATTAATAATTATTGACTGTCTTAATCCACCTATTAATAAAT